TAAAAATGTAATGAGTAAAAGTAAAAAAGTACGCTGAAAAATGATTACTCAAGTAAAGTACAGATAACCAAAATTTCAACTTAAGTACAGAAACAAAGTATTTGTACTTAGTTACTTTACAACTCTGGCAAAAACATTAAACTGTCAGAAACATGCAGAAAAATAAACTAAATCAACCGTGTGTGCTGACTCAGACAGCTGCTCAAATGAAGGAAAACATGATCTGCAGCAGCAAAAAGCATATCCAGCAGCTTAAAATATCTGTCACAAACAATGCTCGCATGCCTTACCAATCCCCCTCAGGAGCTGCGTAAAGCTCCGTCAGGTGATTCACAGGACTCTGTGCAAACATCTTGACTGAAAAGYGATTCAGAGCTCGGCTTCTGCTAAAACAGGAACAGATGGTTTTCTGTCAAAAGCTTTTGTGCAGAGTGACAGCCTCGCGTGCTCGAAAAACCTGAAAACCTGTCGCTCCAGATCAACGAGGAGGCAAGGCGAAGGTGGGGGTGGTGCGCGCCGCTTACCTTTTTTGGGTCGCGCTCGCTTGGTGCCAGGGTCCCCCACTTCTCGCTCCAGCTTCTCCTCCCGCTCCTTCCAGCGCCGCACCTGCTCCTCGCGCATTTTCAGGAACAGGGTCTTCTTCTGGTCATCGTTGAGGCCGTCCAGCACGTCGGGGTCYACGTACATGTCCTTGTCCTTCAGGATCTGCTGCAGCATCTTGGTGGGGTTATAGTGGAGCCAGCGGGTGAAGGGGTCAGGGGGTCAAGTTGGGCCAGCAGCTTCTTGAGGTGGATGTTCAGTGATTTATGGCTTCATGTTAACATTTCTTATTCTTCATCCTCATATGTGTTCTCATAGTGTACGACCTCCTTGTCCTGTGTTCCCTTTGCTAAAACTCAGTTTACTTGGACTGGGGAGGCCATCTTTGGGACAATCTTTAAGACAAAAAAAAAAACACTTTAAGAAAATGCAAAGCTATATATTTCCTGAAACCAGTTAATGTCAACCACAGCTTCTGATTCAGATGTTTTTTCATGTTATTTATGAAACACGGAAGAACTCAAAGCCTGTTTCTCCGCTGACTGAAAAGACCAGAGAGTCGGGAACTGGGAGGAGATTTGTAAGAAATTAGACCGTTTCAGTGGACAACCACACTACCCCTCCTTTTCTCCCCCCCTCCACACATCCTTTAAAAGGAAAAAAAAAGAAGGAGAAAAGAAAGAAACATGTTCCTTTCTCCCAACAACAAGCCCCGGCACCATAGCAGCTCAGTTTGGAGCACGTTAGAAACACATAAAAACGACAATCATTTGGCTCTGGCTTTACAGGGTTTGAGCTCCAGTCTGTCCAGCAGGGAGGACTGGAACGAGCTGCTGTGTTCTCAGTGATAAGTTAAACAAAGGCAGCAGAAAACACTTGAAGGGGGAGAGAGGAAGCTGGTCTCAGACTGTCACACTGCTGTAACACACACACACTGGGTGTTTGCTACACAACTGTGGGGTGTAGAGAGGGAAAACCTGGGGAAAATGAAATTTAAAAAAAAAGCCAGGAAGGGAACGTGAGTGCTAGGAGACAAAGYAAGTGGAGGGGAAAAGGGTAGAATTTGCTGAAGTACTCACAGTGGGATGTAGACAGCCGCTCCACAGCAGGGTGAGCTAACTAAAGCTGAGAGACACACACAGCCTGTGGGTCCTCCTTGTCTTTGTGTGTGTGTGTATGAGTGTGTGCGTGAGTGTGTATGTGTGTGTGAGTTGCTGACATCACAGCATTCCATGCTTCTACTCCCCCCTCCATCTCTCTCTCTCTCTCTCTCTCTCTCTCTCTCTCTCTTGCACACACACACATCACTGCGCACACATCACTTAAAAATGGGAAGAGTGCAATTCAGGAAGTTGATCTCATGCTTTAAATACGTTGTTAAAAGCAGAGGGAAAATGTTTTTTTTTTTTTTTTTGGTTTTGTTTTTGAGACCTCTGAATGCATTTAATGTGCTTTTTGCCCAACAAAATAGCACTAAAGTTCTACAATAAAACAAACAAAAATAAAAAAAATGTCATTAAGTAATTCGCTAAAGCCGTCTAACAATCTGTAAAAGAATGCATGTCACCCACAGCCTTTCACAGCCAAGGTTTTAGCCTAAAACCACATAATGAGAAATAATSAATCTGTGGTCTAACATGTGAATGATCTTTCAAGCGAGGCCTTACACTATGTGTTAGWGCTCAGAGTATGTGTTGAGGGTAACTCTCGCCTACTACCATGCTTAATTTCAGTTCAATATCTGTACATTTGACTGAGTTGTAGCCATTTTTTGTGTTTGCTATGTTTTCCTAGCTGTGGCAGCCTTCTTAAACTGACTTGACTCCAAAAGTGAAAAAGATTTAGATACATACTCACTAATTACTAAGTGAGAGTTTCATTCAAATCCATCCAGGATTTCATGAGATATTTTGCTAACAGACAGACAGGTTTGACACCAATGGGGTGTGGTGCCACGTGTGTAACTCTGAGTTTGTGTTGGGTTTAATGCTTTGCTAGGTTGCAACATTTTGGCTTACAATCTGTCAAACTAGGTGAGACGAAAGCATMTTTGTGTTGAAAGATGTCGAGTAAACTGTGGCAGCCATATTGAARTGGGTTGACGCCYAAAAGTTAATWAGCTGTGTGGATGTTCATKCTCTGAGATTTTCATTAAAATCTGCCCACTTGTTCATGGGATATTTTGCGAACAGACGCATGAGAAAACATGCATTTTGCCTTCAGCGAWAAAAAATTACTACCAAACACAAATACACACATATTCAACAAATTACAATAAAAAATTAATTATAGCAAATATAGCAAACATATTTTATTTACCACTTGTAAAGTGTTTCCATTTAATATTTTAATGTGACTTATTTGGTTAAATTTCTATTAATTTTTTTTTCCCCTTATTATTGTGAAACGGTTGCAGCTCTAACGTGTCGTTATGTTTTATTATCGGTCCAATCAAAATCATAAAATTAAAATACACAAGCAAACATGCTATAGAAAATGCAGATGTATATAAACAGCTGTCTTCAAATAATAAAGGATATTAAATTGTTCAGACAGCTGTTCATTCCCACCTCTGCTGTTTCGCGCTGAAGGCATTTGTAGGTCAATGGCGCCCTCTAGTGGCGGAAACTAACAAAGACACCCTGCAATGAATTACGTCACTGCCTCAAAATGTAACATCAAATTAGAGTTGGACAAAAAAACGGAGGCAGAATGAGAGCAGAACCTGATATTATTACATATAAGCTGCCATCACATGACTGCCATACCTGTAGACTGGTACAAGACTAAATCTGTAGGATCTGATGCTTCAGACAACAGTATTCCTAATCAGACTACAAAGCTCTTACTATGTTTCATGCCATTAGAATGATCAGATTATCAGATGCCACTTTTTTTTTTGCTTCTAATTTGAACAAAGAGCCAGGTCAGAACGTGAGCCAGTCTTGACTCAGCATGTCCCCCCAACAGGTCCAGACCTTCGAGTCTCAATCAGGCCCAAACAAGACTGAGCAKACAACTGTTTCTGGAGGCAAACTGAGTTCAGAAACAAACACAAACCAAAAAAATAAATAAATCACATTAAATACCTAAGAGTCATCTAATTTTGCATTAACTCTTGTAGGATTTTAAAGGGAAACACATTGAAGTGTTTGATCATGTTCAGACAAATCTTACTAGTTATACATGTTTTCAACACTAAACCTGCCAAATGGATAAAAACTTCAACTATAAACACTTAATTGGTTTAAAAGGCTCTGTCTTCATTAAACTAACAGGAAAATAAACAACAGAGGACAACAAACAATCAGGATGATTGGAGAACAACGGAATGCTTTATTTTACAGCCTGGCATTTTATTACACATACAGTACTTATGTAGAAATTTCCAAGGAGACACAAGTCATCAAATAGTTGTCATTGAAAACTTTGCGTTTTTGGAGGCTGTAAAATTAAGCTTTAATCATTAGTATCATAGCAAATGTAGAGTCGGGCATTGTAGACAAACACTACATCAAAAATAAACTTTTTTTTCCTCTTCTTTCAAACAGGAAATAAAAACATGGAAAAACAAATAACACACACACATTACAAATGCAGATTTGTTTCCCCCAGCGGGTAAATTAAATTTATTCTTTTTCTTCAAATTTGTCAAATGTACATAAATTATACTGAATGCATCAAATGAGCAACTTAAAAATCCCCTCTCAAGAAAAGAGGCAACTTAAAGAGAGAATGACATTCTTTGTTGAGATCGTTTTCGAAAGTATTGGTCAGGCGTTTCCATGGACCTGGGAAAGCAAAGTGCTACACACAACAACAACCACTGAAGACAGGGCACCGTACGTCTCAACAAGGATCAGACTGAAGCACCTTTTCTTAGCTTAAAGCTAAATATGGAGATTTCTTTTTTTTTTTTATTCCTCCATCCACAACAAAACAAAACAAAAAAGAAACCTCCATTGAATAATAAAAGTCTACCTTCGACAACCCAAAGTTGATCCTTTTTCTTTGAACGGGGGGCACGCTTGCAGTGACGTTGCTCGGTTTTCAAGTTAAAGTACGTAATGTGAACTGCTTGACCCAACAGGCTGCTAAATAGCTATATTTTCCTTTAGGGTGGAGCTTTGAGTGCAAATCAAGGCGTACGACTCCTTCATGAGAGAAAAAGAAAACATGGAATTCAACCACATGCTTTCAAATAGTTGTCATYTATTTAATTGATATACATATATTGCCACCATTGGCACATACGATATTGCACACAGTGATGAAATGTTGCACAGAAAAATAAAATATATATATTTATATAGATTTTTTTTTATCTCTTTTTCTTATGGGCAAAAACCATTGCAAAATTACAAATAATGTGGAATAACGCTGAGAAGGTAAAATTGCATAAAATAAAAAGAAATAATAGAACATGCGTTGCTACTCCCCATCAATTGAGCAACTTACATAGAACTACTCTAGAGCTGGACAATGAGCAATTTGAAGGGGGACGGGGGGTCTTTCTAACAACTTAAGACCATCTTTGTTTGCCATCCAGCCCCTGCTCTCCAAGAGCTCGGCTAGTGARGGATCAACTCCTCTGCATCGCCTTGCATCTCGGTGACCACCCCTTCCATGTTTACATGTAGGCCGATACCTGGATGGCTGAGGGATGGGGATGGCAATGACGTAAGGGAAAAACAAAAGAAGCAGAAAAAGACTTAATTCTGCTCCGTTTTCTTTAAGGAGTTCATTACGAACCCTTTTAGCACCACGAGTCGTGCGCTAGCACACAAGGGGGCCGAGACACACAGAAGAAAAAAAAAAAAAAACGAAAGAAAAAGCCAAACTGCGATCCAAAGCACCAGGCCAGCGTGTAAGCATGCGGAGTGTGTAAGGCACCAGGTTGTTTATATGCTGAAGAGGACGCTCCCAATCAATCGGGTATCGTTCAGGCTAGTGCCAGAGGCTCCGAGAACTACGCCGTCAAYGGACCGTCTAGTTTGCTGGTTTCCAGTCAAATCTAAACACGGGAGCGATCGTTGAATTTAACGTTGAGGTACATTATTCTGATTGTTGCCAGCTGTCGCCTGGAGTTCGCTGACCAAAAAAAAAAAAAAAAAGTTTATAAAACTGCTATCACACATCTATGAGATGCGACTGAACTGGATCAGAACCAGTCATTWTTTTTTTGTCATTTTGTTTTTTACCCCAGCAAAGTGGGCAGCTCAAAGTATTTACAATTAGACCAAAACAGAATCTCATCCCCCCCCTTGAACACGGTGGCTATTTGAGCTTCCAAATCTTACGTGGAAGCTTTACGAGAGCTCATCCAAAAGAACCCAATCATCAGGTGCGAACGGGCACATCCAGAAACAAAACACCCACCGGCAGGTGAACTCAACATGGCTGACCTTGGCGTGCTTCTCTGTGGCCCGGAGATTTTCTGATTACATGCTTACGTCAACTATACTCAAGCCTTTGGATAAGAATCACTCAGTACTCAAACTTGAGATTCGTACGTTATAGGCAGATAAAGATATATATGGAAGGGTCTTTGAGGCTTGATATTTTTTTAGGAGACCAATGAAATCTACAACAGTGCAGGTTAACATGCAGCAACAGCACTCCTTGGCACCATTTAGACTTTTATGATTAAAACAGGATCACAGAACGTCGCCATTTCCGATGCACCGACTGAAAGTTGTGTTTTTAACTACGCCAATTAACATAGGAAGTGTACGGTGTGTGTCTTCTAAAATAATCTGCAATTCAGGCTATTTGCTACATGTTGTCACTGCATTTCCTCTACCAAATACACATATAGTACCCTTAAAATGAACACATTGCATTAACAACGAGACACAAAGGTAGTCTATAATAAATCCATCTGCATGGCAACAATTTCAACTTAAACAAAAAAAAAAATACAATATTTATATTTCTTTGAATGCCTCTGGCAGGTCATCTTGTCGGGAGCCACTGACGACTTTAATATATATATTTTTATATGCAATGCATATTGCACAACAAAGATAGCACTTATTTCATTTCATGAAAATGCCTATATATTCCTTTTTATACTGCATGACATCTAACCGGTTTCCAAAGCAGGCCTAGCCCTCATATGATTTCAATGTGTAAACACATCTCTACTCACAGGTAAAGGTAAATAGGATGGCAAGTACACGTGTTTTAGAAAGACCTTTTTTTCTTCTTTTTTTTAAATTTTGGTTTAAAAATTATAATATCTGATTTGTGCTGAAGTCATTAGCTNATTATAATATCTGATTTGTGCTGAAGTCATTAGCTCACCTTTTTTTTTAAACTTTGCAATATTCCCATTTAAACATTGCATTTTTCTTTTTTTATAATAGCTTTAACTGGTACAAAAGTTCTCTGTTAWTAAGGGAAATAAACACTCCGTTCAATATCGTTTGTCAAGTAGGAAACAATGTTCAAATATAATGTTATTACTTTGTTTAGCAGCCTGTTAACTGTATTAATGGTGATATTTGGGGCAACATCCAGCGATGAGTGACTGTCAGGTTGTGGTTTCTTATACTGAGTGATGCTCCCTTGGAGTTAAACCATAACAGTTAAATCTTTAGATTTCTTTCTTTATACAGTAGCGTTTTAATGATAATTCTTTTGTTATTTTCATTACTCTTGTGTTGTTTCTCCTCCTCGGCTCCTTCTATATCAATCCTCGTCCCCATCGTCCGCCTGCATCTCCTCTTGTTCGCACGCCCTCTTCTCGCGCTGCTTCTCCTGGATCTTCTTCATCTCGTCGGCGTATTTACAGAACGTGCTCCCGAATTTGGACCAGACTTTGTAGGGCACCGTYATGGAGTTGCGGTACGTCGGCTTCACCTCGCTCACCCTCATAAACACGCCGTACTTATTGGAGCCGACGTCGAAGAAGAAGCGCTTGTTGTCCACAGTCAACGACGAGCCTTCGGGCAGCTCCGCCGGCTCGTCCTCCACGCCGTAATCGTCAATAAGTTTGGCCAAAGCGTCGCGAAACTCGATGAGTCCCTGGGCGGGCAGTGCGATCGTCTGGCCTTGCGTGGATCCCAAACCGGGCCCCCGGTTTACGGTCTGCCGAATCCGTAGAAACCGTCCTCTCTGGTTCTCCTTTAGATCCATGTAGTATTTCCGATTCTCTCGGACGAGGAACTCGCTCTTCAGCGCCCGCCTGGGCTCGTCTTGGACCATGCCCGGGTTGCTGGGACCCAGCTGGGCGTAGTGTTCGATGAAGTCCCCCAAGTAGTCTCGGAACTCGACCGCCACGGACATGGAGAGAGTSAGGCGGCTCTTGTTTCCGCCGGCCCCGACTTCGGCTATCTTCAAGAAGCGGCCCTTGGCGTTCTGCTTTACGTCCAAGTAGAAGCGCTTGTTCTGGATGTCGACCCGCTTCGACGCCAGCTCCTGCGTCTCGTGCTGGAGCCCGGAGGCCGAGCCCGCCGCTCCTCCCGTCGCTAGGTGCACGGAGCCGAAGCCCGGGCCCGTGGCCGCTCCTCCCTGTTCACTTCCACTATCTCTGTCCGCCATGATGCTGCCTGCCTTCTCTCCCTCCGTCTGCTGCTGCAAAGCCACGGCCGAGAAGGAACTCTCGCGATATCTGCGAAGCATCAAAGCAAAGAGCGTTAACGCAGATTGAGGACTGCTGCGTTTTTCACCTCAAATGAAAACGAAACTTAAAATTAATAAAACCTAATYTAAGTTTCTGGAAACTGCGGTACTTTTACAACGTGGAAAGACCCTGGCTTATATAAGATTTGATCTAAAGCTGAAAACATAATTATTTATATATTTTACCACAATAGTTTCTTTACCAGAACCACACAGTTGAAAAAAATCACGCAAAAAACATGTGTTTAAGTTGTTGGAAACGAATAATGTGTTTGAATGGTAGCACAATTTACAAACTATTAGAATTTGAAATGGGACAGAGTAGTGTCTCAGGGTCCTAACATGAGCAGACGGTGTAAAGTGGATCACATGTGGCTCAGTCTGATTGGTATGTAATCTAATTAAAAAGCATAACACACAACGTCGTTTTGCTCCATTTTTTATTTTATTTATTTATTTTTTAACTTTGGGCAATAAAAACAGCATTTTGTTAACAATAAATAAAACAGGAAGAAAGTGGAGAACCTTATTCAGAGAATAAACCCATTAATATAATAATTATATTTATTGAATTACGTCAGAGCATCCTCCGGAACATGAACCACTCACTTTCCTTCTTTATAAATATCAGTCTTCTGACACTTTACATCCTGCTAAAATGTTTTACTTAATTAATATGGAGTCAGATAAAAATAAGTAAATAAAAAAATTAATAACTGAAAATCTGAAAACATAATAGGAGCAGCATTTTCTAAAACTCTAACTTGTGTTTGTTATCGAGGTCTTTTTCCCATTTAACTTCTGTTGTTTTAGGATAAGAATAAAAAAATCCTTAATAAATAAATAAATACATAATAGTTTGAGTTTTCTCTGTAGCAGAGGAAACGCTGAGGATCACCAGTAAACTCATCTCAGTATTCAAAGTCAAAGTGGTCAAATAGAGGCTGACTCGTTGCATGAGCTCTTCAGGTTTTTATTATTATTTTTTAAGACAAAATTTGCACATTTTTCTCAGCATGATGTCTCCAAACCATCAGATGAGGGAACAGTTCGTCACAAACAGAACGAGGACACTTCGTCTCTAATAATCTCCGTTTTGGAAATAAAAAAAATAATTAATATTGTTATTTATTGAGGACCTGTCGGGTTACTTTGCACAATTTCCCCCAGTGCGTAAAAATGAAAGGTGCGCTGCTGCGGACTGCTTTACGCACAGGCCTGCTGAGGCCTCCTCTTCCTGCTCCTTGGCCGCTCACGCGTCCTTCAGGCCAGCTGTCAGAAATCAGTCTTTCCCCCGCCTGTTTGTAAAGGTGCGCACACAGAACTGGCATGGATTGATTTAGAAATGGCTGCTGATTGAACCTAAATGGGTTTTTTTTACAACAGCATCAAAGAAAAGAGCAAAAGCGCGCGTTTAAGGAAACACGAGTCATCATTCACGATGCGCCAAATTCGTCTCTCCTCTAATATAACCCTGTATATATCCCAATGAATACTGGAAACATTTTTTTTATTTTAAGCCTTCCACATTATTATTTTTTCTGGGCTCATAGTCAAACTGCCACAGTTCATTCTACAAAAATGCTATTTATATTGAAAACATATAGATAAATGGCTTCAGTTCACATTTGCCAAAAAAAGGGAAATATTTTTATTAGAAATAACTAAAACAATATAAGTTTTATACAACAAACATTTATTTTAGAGCCTTTCTCTTGACTTTACAATAATGATTTATTTATTTATTTATCTGTTGTTTGCAGCTGAATGTTGCCCAACTGAATCCACTGCACCTTCACTTCATAAGTTATCTCCCTTTTTTGCATTTGGGCAGCTATATTTTTCTTGTAAAAAATAATAATCATAATATAATAGAGGATGACAACGCAAGAGAAAACATAATAAATAATATTTTTTAAATCTAGCTGTTTAGACGGTTTGGAGGACCTAATCGAGATAAATAAATCAAACATTTGTCCATGAAATGATGAAATATGTACACTTTATCAGATCTCAAATGTTTCTTTCTAATTTCTTTTAAAGAACTTTAAAATGTCGAAATAATCACTAAGAAAAATAAGTTGCAAGATGTCCAACTATCCTGTAAGTTAAAACAAAAACGTTTTGGARCAAATATTTACCTGATAGTCATGAATATTTTCTGCAAAGTATAAACTTAAACAAATAAATATTAGTGGAAAAAATATCAGAAGTTTGTGTTTTTTGTAATAAACCCAATTACTTCACTTTAATCTGAACCTTTCTTGCAGCTTATTTATTAATTTATTAAATTTAGTTTTTAAAGGGTTAAATAAACTTTTTATACAGTAGCTTTTTTTCCTAATATAAACATGTTTTTTCATTGTCAGAAAGCTAAYCCTGATCATAAAGAGTGTGAAATTGACAGGAGCTAATTAAGCTGTCTGTGGTGCACAAAAGCACCCACACTCCTTCTGGTTCCAAATGATGTTTTTGTTTATTAAAATGGCCTAAAGTCATACAGGCCGCTAAGATGTCACTTAAATTATCTTTTAATAAATAAAGGCTGTTCTCTCAGTTTGGAGGGGGAAGCAGCCGCTGATCTTTCCCTCAAAGTTTTGCTCCACAGCTCGACACAAAACCACCGCAGCGACGCTCCAATCACAGCTCCGACACAGCAGTAAATAAATGTCTCCCATCACGCTCCCAGCCATTTATGTTGCGTGGCATCGTTCGCAAATCCCGCAAGGCGATGTCATACCGCTCAGCAGCTGCGCGTGAGGTCACTTATCAGGACCGACAGCTATAAAAACCCGAATGACATCTACTAGACGGACGGAAGGACGTCATTCCAGCCGGCGACCTACCTCTCTACCCCCCCTCCTCCTCCCCGCCCAGGGAGCAGGCGGAGCGGCTCAAAGCTTCGACAGCGAGCCGTTAAAGGACGACGCGAGGCGGCGAGCGACTCGTGGGCAGCTGCTCCGAAGCCTCCGAGGACCGCATCCGCCTTCGATCGCTGCACAAGATGGACCAGAAACGGCGAGTCGTGGCACGGCGGCGACGCACAAGCCCGGCGGTGACGCAAACGCGCCACGTCGAGTAGCGTGTGCCTCCTGTTGGTYGAAGTGAGGGACTGCAGCTGCGCCCGCTGGTCGTTCACGGACCGATAGGAATAGGTTTTTTTTTAATTTTTTATTTTATTTTAAGATAATTGTTACACATGATCAGGTATTTGTTTAATTTTTATTTCATTATTAACTTGAAAGTACCCCAGCTTACACTGAAACACACTCTAAAAGGCTGAATTGCGTCCGTTTGTTCTGAAATACAGACTCGTTTGTGAAATTTCAGCACAATTCTGTCAATTTAGCGACCCAAGCAGTAACATCATGTAAATCAGGGGCGGTCCTAGCCTGTTTGGTGCCCTGGGTGAACATCTCCTCCAGTGCCCCCCATCCCCAATCCCCACTCCCTATACGACTTAGATTATGGTGCACCAACACAGACACACTCAGAATTTCTTTGAAAATTAAAGTAAGGTCATTTTTGTTTGGTAGATTCATTTTTCTGCTGTTTAGGCAATAAATGTTATTGAAAGCCTGTTAATTTCCCTTTTAAAGGAACTTTAAAGGATGGATGTGGGTTGCACACTTAAATTCTTTTGCCAAATCTTCCCTGTCAAACAGCTTATTTCACTGTTGTTATTGACACTTCCTTTGGGCTTCTGTTACCCCCCCCCCCAGGTGCTGCCAGTCAAGTGCATGTTATAAGATTTATAGCCAAGACGCTTTGTTACAAAGAAATAATCCATGTGAAAAAAAAATATGTGCAGAAAATGGCTGCTCTCGTCTTCCGTACACAGGTGTGAAACAATGCATCAGTTACAGTTAAAACGTTTGCATCATGCTCATGTTTAAGACTGAAGAGAGCTTTATTTATCACTGTTAGACACAATGAAAATACAGTTCTGCAGCCATAAGGTCCTGCAGCCATAAGAGGCACTATACCTTTTTCTCGAATGAGCTCCTTTAGCATTTTCCAAACACATACAACTCAAAGTGCTTAAAGTGATACTAAATAAATAAATAAATAAATAAATAAATAAATTTCTTTCATTCTTAGCCTAGCTTGCTCTTGAAGCTCTCAGTGACCTGTAGATTATTTGACAGAACGTTGGTTTACCGCTCTCAACATACAAACTCTGTGTGCCACAGTGTTTGTAACTCATGCCACGGTTTGCACCTTTTAATGAGCGGCAGAATCCAACTGAAGTGTCCCTCTCCTGCGTTGATCAGGTGTARCTGTCGCTCATAAAGCTGTCAGCAGATGTCGCTCTTTGTGAACACTGTCCCTAAATCCGCATTAGGTGTTGAGTTTATTCCAAAGAGAAAAAAGCTTTGTGTTGTCATTGGTTTTTCCAAAAGTGGACTCTATCAATATCATTAGCTTATTTGAGCAAAAATAATAGCTATACATAAAAACATGAAGAAAATAACTTGTTTTTTTTCTTTCTAAAGTGAATAAAACAGCACATTTTCCTTTAGTGCTCTGTCTATTTAATGCAGATGATTTCCTAAAACAAATTCTTCTATTTTTCTTTTAGAGCAGTGAATAGGAGTTGAATGCAGGGATTGCTTTAAAACTCATTGGGAACAGCCTCCTGCAAACTCTGGAAACGCTCAGCCGGATGCAGCTGCATCAGTCTTTCGCTCCTTAATTAAATTTTTATTTCCATTTGGAACAAAATCCTCGGCTACAGTATAAGGATGCGCCTCTGAGGTGGTGGGGGGAAGAGAGAGCCATGGATTTGGGAATTCGTTTATTTCATTACAGCAAGAGATCAGCGCCGCTGAGAGAGAAAACGTCATGGAGTGACTGACACGAGTGAGGAGACTGAGCCACACTGACTGCATTTTTTTTAAAGAGTGGTGTGTGTTTGTGTGTTTTGTGTGTGTGTGTTAACGGAGCCCCCTTGGCAATCGGCTTTATTTCCCCTCCGTCAGTGGCTGCTGGAGGGGGTGGGGGTGGTGGGGGGTGAGGCGGAGAGAGGAGCCGCGGTGGAAGGCGGCGTAATAAGCGCTTGTACAGCTGAAATAATTGTTTTATTTTTTAAAGAGGGGGGTGGGTGGGTAGGTGGGATGAAAACGGGTGTTTCTGTGCTTGGCCGCCCGGGCTCCCCCAACTTGTGGCTCACTGCAGCATTTTTTGCGCCCCGTTCTCGCCTCCGATGCAGATGATCCAGAGGAGCGGCGGCAGCAGCAGCATCACAGCGGTGTCTTACCACTGCAATTTGGGGGGCAAAGATAAGAGTGGCGTCGTCTTGCAGTTGAAGCTATGGCAGCATAGAGGAAGGGGAGGTGGCGGTGGTGGAGGGGGGGGCAGGCATCTTCTGGAAAAAAGAGCCTGTCTACGATGCCTCATCAGAGCCCAGTGAGTGGATTTGAAACCCGGCGTTTTTAAAGCTGCTGTTTTACCCCGCTGAAAATCCCTGGGAAGGAAGGAGGGGGAGCGGATCCCGATGGCATGGACACTTATGCAAGGTCCGCCGCGCCGCCGTGCTTCTGGAGCCCCCTCTCTGTCTGCGCATCCAACCCAGCTCCACCGCCATCGCGCCCTGCCGCAACGCGACCAGCCGCCTCCACCGAGCCAAAGCAGGCGGCATGAGGCTTGATCCGGTGCGCCTGTCCATGCTGTTCATCGGGGTCTCCTTCGCCTGCTACTCCCCGAGCCTGAATTCCCTGCAGGACCAGGCTTACAAGTCCGCCGTGGTGATCGAGGGCAAGGTGCAGTCCACGCCTGGGAACGCGTCCGCGGAGCCGCACCGTGTGAGTGTCAGGGTGCTGGACGTGTGGCCCCTGAACAGCGGGGGTCTGGAGCGGGAGCAGCTCGTCACTGTGGGGGAATTCGGATCCGAGGCGCCGTGCAGCAAAGTAAAGAAGAACCACAAGTACATCTTTTTCATGGACCCCACTGACGAGCCCTTGGTGTTTAAGGCTTCATTTGCGCCCCTTGACACGAGTGGGAAGAGTCTGAAAAAGGATGTAGGGAAGATCCTGTGTGAGGACTGCGGTAAGTGACACGCATTGTGGATTATACCGGTGAGGTCCAACCCGGAAGAARGATCAGTGCTGGTTCCAGCAGCCGGGCTTTGGGGGGTGGTGGACTTTTTTATGTTTTGCTCTGTGGCCACAGTTCGGCTTTTGGAGTCACCGGCTACCTGATAGGTGTTACAGGGGCGTCTATGCAGCAATTTTCGACAACTCTCGCAGGCTCCCATAGCCCACATGATCAATCAAACTCTCTTTCTCTCGCTGCTTCTCTCTCTCTCTCAGACCTGGCATGCGCCTCGCACTGTTGCTTGTGAGGAATTGCAGTTTTATGTCTGAAACAAGTCACTCTTTGAAATTCCTTAGCACCTTTTATAATTCCCAGGATTAAAAACTGGGCTCCTCACAGATTTTATTTTTTTTTATCTCTCTTTATTTTTATTTTGTGTTTTCTTCTGTTGCAGCTGGGAATCTACATTTATTGAAGCTGATAGAGTTTCAGCACCAGGGACAGCAGCTTGTTGCTGCTAGATAATCACGTGTTGAAAAAATCACGCTGCCCTAAGCAAATTGGTTCCTGGGCTATATTTAGCTTCACGCCCAGATTTAAAGCTTTAATTCCCCTCACTTTGGCAAGTCTAAGTCCTTCTTGCACAGAAGGACTTGCAGAGTCTGCTGTTTGGAAGAGTGGATCTCACACACTTTGGGATTTTTAAGTACTTCTAAACAGTACACATTTATCTTAAGTCTTATCCTTAAAGGAATGCACTTCACTCAGCACTTTTCATGCTAACTCTGAAAGTTTAATTAAAATCTGCCCAGTGATTCACAAGATATTTTGCTAACAAGACAGACAAGTAATGGCAAACTTTAAGGAAGGTGATTGTTCATTGTGTTTATTTACATGGGCAAAAGTATTTGATGGGATTGAAATGTATTCAGATGAAATGATCCAAATGTATTGTTAATGTGGGCACAAATTAATTAATCGGATCATGACGAGTGTTTACGTGCACCAGGCTTTTATTCAAAATAGAAGTATTAACATGCAGAGTTGTAAACTTTCCCTAAAAAACGAAGAATGGCATGGACACTTGTTTCCCTAAGAAAAGTTGTATCGCTAACCGACCAATTTGTTCTCCATATAACATCTAGCCTGGAGGACACAGGGTGCACAGTCAGGTCAGTTTTTCACAACCAGAATAATACGATCAGATTAAGTGTTRACATGCAGCCATTCAGATTATCGATGGACACAAACTGCTCCTCTGATTCAGATTACTAATTCATTCCAARTGAGCTGAATCAGATCAGAATATTCCAACWGGCCATTTATTCTGATTGTGAAGTCCTCGGAGTGTGTGCTGTGAAGGAATCACACAAAATCTCAGCCCAATATTTGTAAACTTTCAGTAAAATCCATGTTAATGAAATATTTTGCTAACACAACAAACTAACAAAGACACACACTGAAACAGGCCAAAACATGCACGGCCTTTTGCCTCTGGCAGAAGACAGTAATAATTCAAAGTATTTTTCCAGTTTTAAGTCATGTTTCAGTTCTGGTTCCACTTGTTTTCATTTTCTTCAGTAAAGAATTGGTGAAGGGTCGTAAAGATAAGTTTCAAACCTGATTGTTCAGAGAGCTCAAAAAGCAGTGAAGTATGCTGCGGGTTGGAGTTGACGCAGAAGGAATAATAACTAAAATAGTAAAAAAAGTGTATTTCTTAGAATTTATGACCTGTTCTAAGTCACAAGTATAGCTGGAATCTTTACATGTAGTATTTTTTTGTCACTGACCGCTCATAGGTTCATAGGTTAGGAAGTTTTTTTTTTTTTTTTTTTTTTTTAACAATCCATCTGGAAGTACGAAACACAGATCACTGTATGAAAAAAAAAAACTGTGAAAACATAACATTTTGATGCCAGCAACACAACACAACAGAATAGAATAAAATTT